CTTTCATAAACCTTTATGCAATTTATTTCTATTTATTTATTTATGAACATTTATTTAAGTTTAATTAAACTTTCCAGTGTTTGCAACACTTTCATTGCGTTTTTGGCGCGTTTTCCGGTATCGAGATTTATTGTCGAAACCACAATTTACAATTCCGGCTTACCTTCAACATGCTGTCAGTAGTAGTGTCACATGTCGTATGAGCGACTTTTATTCAATTTAATTTTCATAAGTCGGTAAATGGTTAGTTGGTGGTTTCATTTTGGCCCTTATTTACTCTTGAATGTGCCGCCGCCATCGACTATTGTATAAATCTCAGTGTCATTGCTTTCAATAAATGGAAGAAGAGCGTTATAGACAGGCCAGGCAGGGTACATTGATGGTAAAACAAGATTCTAAAGCCGAATTTTCACGAGGCATAAAAATTACAAAAAATCAGTGTCATTTAAAAAATGCCATGTGGAAATGAATTTAAAGACAATTTTTTCAACTTAATGACATGAAATTTTTTTTGTTTGCCAAATGGAAATCCAGCGTAAGTACTGTGAACTGAAAATTACTATGTTCCAGGAACAAAATTGTCATAAAATGGTTTAAGAATTATAATTTTCGAATATATTTTTACATAAATTATTTAAGTTATAACTATCGGAACCGGCGGATTTCGTTCCGGAAAAAATTAATTTTTTTATAAAACCGATTTGGTCCAACAATTTCACCGGCAATTCACGCTCACAACTTCCAGCGGCTCCTTTATATGCTCCGAATATATGCTTTTGTAGTCGCCTGAAGGCATATTTTCCATTGCTGCCTCAACTGGTTCCCTGTCCCCATTCTAACATTTTTTCAAAGCAGGTATATGTCCAGCGTTTTTCTGTTTTTTTATAAATGATTTGATATTATTTTCATAGAGAAACATGCTAGAAGCATGCATTATATCGCTTTATGCAAAAGATTAAAAATGGGTTGAGGAAAACCCAACAAGAAAGTCTATTAAAATAAGACGATCCGTTCTAGAGTTATGTGTGGTCGTACGTACGCGGCATTGTTTTCTATATATATTGAGATTTAACGCTTTAGATAAATAGTTTGAAACCCTAATCAAAATTACCACATGCTACCTAAAAGTGCATTTAAAAGTCGT